TGACAAATTGGATGTGTTGTGACATGATCCAATAAAAAGGAAATGAAGAAAATAACTTTATTTCTCACAATTTCCGTCCCTTGTTTGAATTGTGAATATTTTAGTTATGTTTCATACACGGCCTGTCTAGAAACTCATTTTGTGGTGAAATATGCCCCTGTGTGACTTGTATTTTGAAACTGTGTGAGTAAGCTTCCAACAGCCAGGCTGAAGAACAAGGTGGAAGTCCGAGGAAGTCTGAAGGGCCTCTGAACTTTCTTTATGCCACTCTTCTCAGGATAGATGGCCCATGTTTCAGGTATTTTTATTTTTAGGAAATAAAATATCTTCCACCAGAAATCACCTAAACCTTGACAAAAGTAAAAAATTCTCCCAGTCGCTTTTATCATATGAGAATGGACTTTATGACACAATGCCCAATAACAGCAAAATTCTATAAATAGTACGATCTTCATTCTTCCACGTAGTCTAGGAAGTTACTGCTGCTTTTGTGTACTGTTGAATGTTAGGACTGACCCACAGCTAATTCTCCAGTGGCTTTTCAGACAGAGTTAATCACAAGGGAGGAGACTGCCCATCTTTCTCCCATATAGCAGCTAGTGGGTTTGAACATGTCTTTGTGCTGGAAGCACAACTCCTTATTACTAAACAACCAGAGCACCCTAGGCAAAAAGTACAGAGGAAATAATTTAGAATGTTAATAGTGTTGGCTTTTTTTTAACAGAACAGTGCATATTTATTTTGTCTTTTCTAATTTTCAGTGAAAACGCATATGAATTTTTTTAAAAAGTGAAATTACAAAATAAATTAATAATTTTTCCAGAAATAGATTCAAGCATTCAATTTTTATTTCTCTTCAAAATCACTATGTAAGGCTATGCAATTTTGATTAATGCCAGATAATAGGTGTACAAAAGAGTTATAAACCAATCTTGCTTATTGATATTAAAACCCCAAGTAAAATATCAGCAATGAAATCTAGCAGTGTATTAAAATCAATATATTATAACCAATTAGGACTCACCTCAGGAATAATGATTAGAAAATTAGAGAACTCTACCACAATATAAGTTAAAAAGTTTATACTTATATA